TCATTTAAACGACAAAGGTTAAGACGCATATAAAATCCTTTCCATTTAAAAATATATCCAAAAGACCAAAAATATATATTTCAAACTCCTTTCAAGAATAATAACATATTTATAAATAAATGTATATAATGATAAAATTTAATACCTTTTATCAAGAAAAGAATCCAAACACTAGCCAAATATACTAATTTACCGAGAGCCATCTCTGCCGTTGAATTAAGGAAGTAAATTATGGAAAAGGTTTCAAAGTAAAGGAACTGAAGCATGAAAATGTCAACAGCATTTTGCAATTCGTATATATTAACGAGGGCTATTTGGAAATTATTGAGACGTTGTGTATATTTTTCTTTCTAATAAACGTCTTCGGGTAAAAATTTGCCTATACGTTAAATCTGACAAACATTCAAAATTTCAACAAGCAAGAAATATTTAACAAATTATACATTTTTTTTCACTTCAGTGGTACATGTGCATAAATGTTCCATTGGAAGGGGTACCCCGGCGCAGTCATGAAATCAGATATTGAAAATATGTAACATCAACGTTGAAACTCCCGCTGGACCCATAATAAGAGCGAAAATTTATGTGTATAATTTTTAGCTCTACTACCTGGTTCGAGACCAGAAGAGCTTATGCGATAGTAATGCGTCCGGCGTCCGTCCGTCTGTCTGTAAACATTTTTTTTTCAAAATGCTTCTCCTACAGTTTTGGTCTGATTTCAATACCGGTATTACTCGGCGCACAAATAGACTACACTAAGATACACAATTCTATCTATCGGTTTTCGATTTCGATGAACGGTGTTACTAAAAATAAATTTTTTTGTGAAAACTTCTCCTCCTACAGTTTTGGTCACTTGGCACAAAGTAGACTACACCAAGGTCTCGCTCCATTGACCTGTTCTAGACAAGTCTCACAAATTCTCGCGCAAAGAGAATGGTACTGAAAGAACACAACTATGGCGGAAATTTTATATATATATATATATATATATATATATATATATATATATATTTATTATATACCCATCAATTTCCTTGTTTTTGTTACTGTTAATTTTACAGAGTTTGATCCGATTTTCCGGATCACCACACTGTGGTTTTCTGAAACTGATGACGTGGTACGCAGAAACATGACATTATTTTTTTTGCGCGTTAAAAAGTCCCTGTTTTTATGCTTTGTTTTATGGATAAATATTATACAATTGATATGAAAAGTTTTATTCTGCTCTATTTAGCTAGTTATAAGGGGGTATATGATAAATTTATCATTATAACAGTAACTTGATCCGAAGAGCCGTATCACGTCTCGTTGACTGGCGCGTATCAACAGATAAAACTCGACGCTTCGCGACTCGTTAGATCTGATGATCCGCGCCTGTCAACTCGACGTGATACGGCCCTTCTGTTATAATTATATATATATATATATATATATATATATATATATATATATATATATATATATATATATATATATATATATATATATATATATATATATATATATATATATATATATAAAGATAAATTAATAAATATAGATTTTTGTTTTAAAAACTGCCTTAAAAATATATTCTGTAGGTATGGTTTGCATAATTATTATGATGAAGATTTAATCAGTATCCGAAAAAGAGCGCAATTTGGTGTATAGAATCATGTATAAGTTACTTATAGAGAAAACATGCGATAAGACACGCAAAGAGTGTAACGTTCAGCTAATTGCTATTAGTTTGCAAAGGGGCAGAATATTATACCTTTTTATACCAGTTGGAGGAAAATAAAAAGCTGGTATTTCATTTCGTTTATTATAAAATAACATAATATTATACATGTTGTGGTCATCAATGTATTCTTACATGAATTTAATGCACTTTTAGGCAATTTTTCATTTCGTTTATTATAAATTACATAATTATACATGTTTTGGTCACCAATGTACTCTTGCTGGATTTTATACACTTTTAGGCATCCAACGTATGATGAATGAAGGTGACTGGAACATCAAGCTTTTATCGCATCTTTAAGCTCCATGCATTTTCCTACTGTACATGGAAATACTCCATACTGCAAATTACCTTGGGCTGTTGAACTTGTATAGTCTGCTGGGTGCAACTACAAGCCTGTGATGTAGGTGGAGGGAAGGGGTGATAAAGGAATTTTAGTCTTTTAATGTGTTGCTGTAGCCAGGGTGATACAAAACCTCTATTCTCATATAAAACACTACAAAAAGAGTCCTCGAAACTCTACAAAATGGTTTTTGCAGTCATGAAAGTTATTTTCCTTAAAATAATCTCATTATAATAATTGTATTGAGCAGATTTTGTAGACTTGTAAAATGATATTACTGTTCGTAGAATATATCTAGTGTTAATTGATTTTAAAAGCCATTGTTCATTTGTATACATTGACAATTCTTGCTCCCATGTTGAGATGGACACTATTTGTAGCTCTATCGTACATTTAGGATACCTAAAATTTCGTAATTTACATATTCTAAGTGTTTCCCTTACCTGTATTAGAAGGTCCCGTTCCTCTTCCAACCACAGATTCGTATGATGGAGCTTGTTCTTCATATGGTGGCGGAGAAATTACACCAAACGAATGGTCACGTGATTCGATTCCATATTGAAAAAGAGTGTTATATTGTCCACTGTATGAATAAAGCTGGGAAGGGGATAAAACTTCGGTAGAACTTAATGAGTAAGGTTCTGGTTGGTGGCTATAGTGAACTCCTGCAGGTGCAGTATCTGTAAATTTTAATGAAATGTACATAGTTTCACTTATTAACCTCGATGGGGTGTCTATTGATATATTTTATATAAAAATAAAGAAACAAGAGGCCCACGGGCCTTATAGGTCACCTGAGTATCATGTAACAACTTTCCAACAATTGATTTTGATTCGTGTTTTAAAATTTAGGCCATGAAATCACAATTTTGAAAGAGGCACCATTGCTTATCATAATTAAACACTTAGCTTGCTTATTCTGGTTACTAAATACCCAAGGTAGATCTGAGTAACAGAGAAAATGCATTTCCACTTTATAACTAATTGTGCACCACACCCCACAGGAACCACTGCACCTGGAATCACATATTTCAAAATTTTGGAAATTTTATCATAAATTTTATTTCATCATCAATTGTTATCATAAATTTTATTGAACCATAAATTGTTGATTAAAACAAAAGTGCAAAATCAAAGCATTAATTTGATTTCGGAATATGTAACACCCCTCTCCATTCAAAGTACCCCTGCCTCAGGGGCCCCGAAAATAACCATTTAGGAAGAAGTAGCTTTCTTCATCATAAATATGCATATACTCAGATCATTGGCATAATACCCAGAAGCAAAGGAAAACGTTTTCAAAGAATTCATGCAGTTTCACTTTATAGACATTAGAGCCCCGCCCTAACACAAGAAGACCTGACCCATCCTTCCTCATCATAACAATTCAAATAGTTCATTGGTTTAATACCCAGGAGCAGAGAACATTTTTTTAATGTATGCATTTTCACTATATAATCAATAGATTCCCAGCCTATCACCAGAACCCCTGACCCAAGAGTAATGAAATTCACAATTTTGGAAGAGGCACTCTTGGTCATTATAACTATATACTTGGTTTGTTTCTTTAATACCCAGGAGCAGAGGAGAAGTTTTTCAAAGAAATAATTCATTTTCACTATATACTCTATATAGCCCCACACTAACAACAGAACCCCTGACCCAGGGGCCATGAATTTCACAATTTTGGACGAGGCAGCCTTATTCTACATAACTATGCACTTGGTTAGATAATTTAATGTCCAGGAGTAGAGAAGAATTTTAAAGAATTTATACATCTATAAAACCAATATAGCCCCGCCCTTTAGCACAAGAACTCCTGACCCTAGGGCCATGAAATTCACAATTTTGGAAGAGGCAGTGATATTCAACTTACATGTAACAATGGACTTGGTTAATTTGTTTAATGTCGAGGAGCAGAAAAGAAGAATTTCAAAGAAATAAGCATTTTCACTTTTTAATCTATTTTGCCCATCCTAGCACTAGAACCCCGGACCCGGAGGCCATGAATTTCACAATTTTGGTAGAGGACTAAATGCCGCTTACAATCATACCAAAAGTTTGACTGCTTGAAGTCCAGGAGTAAAGAAGATTTTAAGAAATTGCATTAATTTTAGTGGTTTTGGCCCCACCCCCAGGCCCGGGGGGGGGGGGGGGGGGGGGCAGGGACCATGAAATTCACAATTTAATTCCTCTTCACCCATAAATGTTTTGTGCCAAAATTGGTCGAAATTGGTTCAGCGGTTTCAGAGAAAAAGCTATAAATGTTCAAATGTTAACGCACGACGAACGACGACGGACAAAAACGGTTAGCAACGGATAACGGATAACCTGAGTTTACTCAGCTGACCTAAAATCCAAGAGTCATAAACATATTGAAGAACAATATCCATACGGTGATATGAATATTTCGATTGATGTATAATTAACATCGGAATCGCACCTTCTTACAGTACTTTATCGCTAAAATTATTATATTATATTATAATAATATTATAATATAATTAATATAATATATTATTATAATATTATTATATTATATTATTATAAGTAAATTGTTGACCATGAGACACATGCAGATTTTATATACACTTCACAGTAACGCAATATAAATAAATCCTTCAGGAATATGTAATAAATACAAATGAAGAAATTAGGACGTGTCCTTTTCATTCGGGGGATGAGGATGGCAGATTTTAAAGTAGAAAATAGTGCTAGTAAACCACTCCTTCCACGAATTGGAGTTCTGGACTTTAATGTTATACCCTTTTTTGATTTGCCTGCAAAACGTATTTCAGTGGACAATTAAATAATCTGTCCTCCTTAAATTTATTTGAAATGAATAAGGTTATCCTTGACCGGATGAAAATTACTAGTCTCTGTAAAATATATCCCCCCCCCCCAATTCAAAGGTCGTTTCCTTACACGTTACGATTCTTTGTTGGTTTCCTTGATTGGCTTCCATTTCACCGTTGTTAACATTTTCATCCACGTTTCTCTTGCCACGGCAGCAGAAGATACAGCAGCATAGCATGGAGAGCATCCATGAGACAATTCCTACGGCAGTACCAATTCCTGTATCTCTAGAACTAAAAGATTTTGAAAGAGGCATTATTTCTCATCATAACTATACACTAAGCATGCTTAGTATGGTTACTTAATATCCTAAGAAAGAGTAGGGGATCACAAAAAATGCACTTCAACTAATTCAGTTATAATCAGTAGGCCCCACCCCACAAGAACCCCTTACTCTGGGTATATACATTTCACTATTTTGAGAAAGGCAACCTTGCGGCATCATAAATATTTTATACAAAGGAGCTCTCAAGTATTAGTTTATTTACAATATATAATAAAAAGCCCCCCGCCCCCCTCTTCGGGACCCCTGACCTAGGGCCCGGGCCTTAAAATTCACAATTCTGGAAGAAGGACGGTTGCTTATCATAGCTTTATAGGTGGCTCATTTGCTCTATATCCAGGAGCAGAGGAGATTTTCAGAGAACGAGTGCATTTTCACTACATAATTTATAGCTATATAGGTCCTCGCCCTACATGTAACACCAGAACACCTGACCCTCGGGCCACGAAATTCATAATTTTGGAAGAGGTACATATCCTCATCCTAACTGTATGTAGTTAGTATTTTTAACATGAAGACCTCTCCAATTATTTACCAAGGCATGGTGATTGGATTCAATTAAGATCTGAGATGAGAAAACCAGAAAAGAAGAAACAAACTGCTAATGACAATACAACCAGAAACTACAGAAAGAAAAAGAAAATAATTCTCAAAGAATTCTTACAAACACTACTGAAGATATGAGGAATCCTTACCGTCCATTTGGGAACAGAAATGCTAAATTCACAGAAATAACAGGACTACGCAAGCTCGCAAAAATAAAGGAAAAGGAACAAGGAAAACTGAAATATCAGAATCGTCTATAAAATCTGAAATAATGGAAGAAGCGATAGCGTTATTCCTTTGAAATGAAACGTTCCCTTAAGTCCATTGATGCAGCTTCAATATTGACTTGCGGGATTTTTCAGGCAGGCCAACAGGAGATGATTTTACCGTCAACAAGATGTATGAGCAAACAAAGATCGCACTTTAGCCATTTCCCATTCTATACACACCTAAGATTAATTCTGAAGACTTAGCAGAGTCGCAAGAGTATGGCATGCCAATTTCACAAAAATGTGTTAGTTTGACAGTTGATAAACTAGATTTATCGACTGTAAAATACAGTTTACGAACCGTGAACTATATTTAAAGATTCTTTGTACAGGCAGCAGGGTTCCAAAGGAGATCCCTTCAGAATGGATCTGTCTGAAAGCCAGTCTACAAGAGCTTTTAAAAATAGTTTTAACTTTGGCCATAACGTATGAACAGTTAGTACTTATTAACTTCATTTTTCACAGTTGTATTCCTTGTGAAAAGACCTTTAAATAACAAGTTTTTTAATCTTTTGACCAAAAATAAATAAAATACGGAACTTTATGTATTCATGTAACAAAACCGTTCAATTGGTTTAAGTATTTTTGGCTTGGACCTTAAAGCCTGACACACTTTGATAAAAACTTTAACCTTTGCAATATTTTTTAACAGTTAGTACTAGCCTAAGGGCTTTCATATTTCACAAGTGCGTTCCTTGTGGAAAAACCTTCCTCTTGCTACCATCAATTTTTACCTCCGTACTTGACATTGCACTCCGATTTGCATTTGAGGAACTTCAACCTTCGTCAAAGGCTGCAATACGGGAGCATCAGTGTTTCACAAACACATTTTGTTTTACTACTTGGTCAGGAGTTCTGGTGTTATGATGTGCTTTGATTGATATTTTAATCTTTGAATAATTTTTTTTCGTAACATTGCCAGTTTTATCTTACACAAATAACGACAAACATGAATTTTTACCCCCTTCCCCCTCCGGTATATAATATACAATTATTGACTTTTGATGAGGTCTACTCGTGACTATACAGACCTGGTCAGGTATTGGTTGACCGAGGCCGAAGGCCGAGGTTAACCAATACCTGACCAGGTCTGTATAGTCACGAGTAGACCGAATTCAAAAGTCAATAACCGTTTTATTAAATGATGAGGAATTTTACAACACTGCTGACGCTTTCATTCTTGTCTACATCAAATATAAACATCCATAATGTAAAGTGTAATTACACTTTTTACATGTTGATATACTTCAACAGCTAAACATATATTAGTTAAAAAATTAAAAACAATATTAATAAACAATAAATACTCAACCATTTACTTTCAAAAGTTCTTACTCTCCTTGGTAATGGCGTCTGCCATGTTTACATTCACACCGACACATGCTTTGAAACACGCAATCTGATTGGTCGAAAAAGCTGTAAGCAAATCTATGGTTGGTCGAGAGGGAAAACCCGAATAAACCTCCCAGAACGTCATTTGAGGTGAACTCACTCTGAGGTACACACCAGTAAATGGCGTCTAGACCAATCAGAGAGCACCAAAATTCCTTATCATTTAATAATAATACTTGTATTATTTTGATAATCACTTACCTAGAATAATTATAGTAATATCCACCACAATCTGTTTTAACGAAAATGAAGGTTATTGAATTATGATTTTATTAAAACCACACACACACACACACACGTGTCATATATATATATATATATATATATATATATATATATATATATATATATATATATATATTTATATCATGGATACTAGTATTTGACAACAATTCATAATTAAATTAAACGAAATAATAAACCCTCACACTTTTTATTTCTTCTTAATATTTGGTTTGAACGGAATTAAACTTATTTTTTTTTTATTTCTCACAGTGTGTCTGAAAGAGGGAGGAATGAGAGGAAAGAGCATTTTACTTTGTACAGAGATTCGCCGAAAAAAGTTAAATAATCTTTTCCTACATGTACATGTAGATACTATGTACTCAGTATATGTTGCTCTAGAATCGTACAAAAGGATTCATGTAATATACCGATACCATACAAACTGCATTTACTACTCGAATATTCGGCCTATCACCAAAATAGTTGATTGGTTGGTTGATCGTAGGAAATACAATCTACCTATCCTATATGTATTGTCAAGTCGCAATACAGTTTATAAATGAGGACAATTTTTTTTTTTAAATATCTACGTGTTCAATGACCGACTTAAAATACCGGTACATATACAGTGTAGTTATAAACACTAAAATGCTATATAATTACTTTCAATCAAATAATATGTATTTTCTGATAAAAAATTTCATAATGCAATTCCGCTCTGATTTTTTTTCTCTCTCAGATATAAATGAATGAATTCTTTGCGAGTTATTTCATAGGGATTTCTTGTTATGGTCTTAAAATCTTGTATAATGTACAATAGAATGATTCTTTCGTTTCAACTGCAAATGTTACGACGCATATAAAGTCCTTTAAAATTCAAAAAATATCCAAATTAGAGGTTCAAATTATAACTTCTAAATGTATATAAAATAAAATACCTTTTATTGATAGAAGAAAAATCCACAAACTAGCCAAATATACTAATCTTCCGAGAGCCATCTCCGCTGTTCGATTGAGGAAGTAAGTTACAAACAATTTTAAAGCAAAGGAGCTGAGGCATGAAAATGTCAACAGAATTGAATGTTTGGCATTTTTTCGGAAATATTAGAATTTTTTCACATTTCACATTTTTTCACTTTTTATCATATTTGAAATGTTTCAGGTGAACCGTATTTCAGAGTTTTAATAATTCAAGTATTCTTTGTTTTAAATACTAACCAATAGAGCTATAGTCTCATCAGAGACTTCTGGATTGATACATGTTGATTGATTGTATACTGTTTAACGTCCCTCTCCAGAATATTTTACTCGATATGGAGACATCACTATTGCCGGTGAAGGACTGCAAATTTAGGCCAATGCTCGGCACTTAGGGCCTTTGAGCAGGGAGGGATCTTTATTGTGCCACACCTGCTGTGACACGGGGCCTCGGTTTTATACGGTCTCATCCGAAGGACCGCCCCATTTTAGTCGCCTTTTACGACAAGGAAGGAAGAACTGAGGACCTATACTAACCCGGATCCCCACGGGATTGATACATGTTTTTGTAAACTATTGAATAATATGTTTAAAAATAATTTTCCAGGTGTGAGGGGGATAATGTAAGCCAAGAAAAAGATTTTTTTTTTAATTCTATCTTCGTTAAAAACTTTGTTTATTCACTGTGGTCGTATAGATATATTGATGCTTCCTCTTTTCCAAGCTTCTATAAAAAGGACGTAATATACGTATCGTACAAATATTAAATAAGCCCTGGATGTTCATCAGAAAAGAACAGCACAATTGGTAGAAACAAAAGTTCCTAAAGATTAGTTCAAAATTGCAAAAATATTCAAGAATTCAGAGCATTAGTTAAAAACCAAACAAGTCCTAAAAGCGCCAAAACGTAAAATGCTAAAAACAAAGAACAAATTTTCTTTTAGAGAGATTAGGTTTTTGGCAAACATGGAATTCAATGCTGGTATTCATGGTCCTGAACAAAGAACATTCGCTTGCTATTTCACTATTGCCTTCAACAAGACACCGTCTTCCTAATATAGTATATTTAAATTACTTTTATTTATAGGCTCGGTCCCCATCTCGATCTGCACCACAGGGCTTCTAACTCTAAACTCTTTTTATTAGCTACCTAAAAGTCCTAAATTTATTGTTCTTAGTCAAGAAGCCAAATATTAAGTTTGCTGAAATGTAAAACGTAGTTTAAATAGGTTTGATACTATCGGTGCAGTGAGGGGTCTTTTTTCATGCCAGCACTTACTGCGACTAGGGGCCTCGGTTTGTACGGCCTCATCCGAAATACCGGTCACTACCTCCCACAGTGGGATCAAAACCAGCGACGTAAGGATCAACTCCTTACTTTCGCGACTCTAAGACACACGCTTTAACCAATGTGCCACACAAGCGACTAAATGTGTTTGAAATAGGTTTTGTGCGCACCGAGTTCACTAAGAGGTACCCTAGCCTCCCATATAATCATAATTGAAAAAGCCCGTGTTTTGCTCTTGGAAGTGTAAGATCAAAAAGTAGAAAAGGTGGTAAACAATTGCATTATAAAGAATTTGTGAAAATATCATTAGATTTTATTCAGTGGTAAAAGAGGACTTGGGGATAAGAGATGATTACCCTTCAATATTTTAGAAAGAATGCGGCCGTATCCATGTTTTGCTATGGGAAAACCAAAATATGTGACGGATCAAAAATTTAGAAAGTTGCACAATGATACTATGTAACATAGACTCTATGAAAGTATCATTACATAGGCGTCGGAACTTCCCAGAGATAGACAAGTATTAGAGACATTGAATATTGCGGCATAGCCCCCACCCACCCACCCACATACACACACTTTCCACAGGCACGTTGCAGTATAGGTTAAAAAGATGTGGAAAGTGGTAGTGTTTGTAAACCAGAAGTCTCTTTCGAGACTGCAGCTCTACCGGTTTGTATTTATAACAGAGGAAGAGACAAGTAGTATTTAAAAGTATTTCAAAGAAATTTATATTTTAAGTAACCACGGCAACACCGTTCATGATATTCAAAAATTGGTTATCGTAGTGTAGTCTACTTTTGTGCCAGGTTGTGTTGAAATCAGACCAAAAATGTAGGACAAGTAGCATTTTGAAAGCATTTAATTGAAGTTTCTTTTTTTAGAAACCACGGCAACACTGTTCATTGGGCTAATTGTATTCGGCGCGCTCGCGCAACAGATTTTTTTTATTAAATTTATCGCTTATACAGCATCGGGCTCGATATCCACTAGTAATCAGAGTACTGAAAGTACTGAGAAGTGTTGATTTTAATGACGGTTTCAAAAAAATTTTAATGTTTCACACTTTGTTTACAACTTTTTCAAGTTATATGTTCATTTATGCTCCGTAAGGAAGTTTGTTAGAAATAGATAAAAAAGAAATTAACACGATTATACAGTGTCAAAAGGTTAGGGTTTTTTGTTTTTTTTTATCTCTCCATAACCTTAGAATGAAATGCCAAAAAGTGTAAGTCTTTTTCTCTGTTCAATTTTTTTTTTCAATAAATGAGTAAGGTATTTTTCTGACCAAGAGTTTCTTTGAAAGGGCTATTAATATCAAAGGCATCTCTGTAACTAAAGTTTCTCCCCATCCTCAGACCTCTAATAAAGACAAGTTAATTCTTGTAATACTAGAGTAGTTCTATTATTTTAAAACGTAACAAGGAATTTGTTTTTAAACACTGATACCAAGGTATGGCAGCTTATAGCCATGAAAATCAAGTCTTTAAAAAGGGAGTTTAAACTCTAGGGTCATAACGTAATACTGGTAAATTTTAATTTGTTACATTGGCGTCGGAAGCAAATTGTAAGGGGGGGGGGGGGGGGGGTAAGTGAAAGAAAAAATTCGAACCTGAAAAATCTTAACAAGCAGAAAAAGGAGAAATGTATCAATTGTCCACAAACGCAAATCCTATTTCGTAAGGGGGGGGGGGGGTCGAACTATTTTCAGTACCAATTTTTGTTCTTTAAACACTACCACTTACCCTTCTTCGACTACACTGCAACGTGCCTGTTGAAAGTGGGGGCTAAATCTACGCCCCAATGTTTAATAAGATGTCTATCTGTGTAAGCCCCCTCCCCCGTCCCCAGGCCTATGTGTTAAACATAAGATAAATTTCTAAAAACCAAAGCACTCAATATTTTTAAATGCTATAGTTAAAGTTTGGAGATATATATATATATACGAGAGAGAGAGAGAGAGAGAGAGAGAGAGAGAGAGAAATCGAAAGTAGGCCACTTCCAAAGTTTGGGTAAATTTCGTTTGCACAAATTGTGGTAAGGCATGCATATATATTAAAGGGGATCCGTATCCCTGGAAAATTCAAATTTTTAAAACTGATATAGTAAAATTACTAAAGCTATGCCTCGGGCCTCTTCCCCTTGCGATTTGAGCCACCACCTGGTAGGGAAATTCTTCTGGATCCACTTAACAAAGAAATACAATCGGGCTCGGACTGTCGACTTGATATAAGCGATAACGCTTAAAGTATAAAGAATATCGCTGTCATTTGAGTGTTTTAATGCAGGGAGAAAATACTTTTGTGATATTGGGATGGGATGGACGCGCTGGTGCGCCGACGCGCCGAATACAATTAGCCGTTCATTGAAATCAAAAACCGATACACACAAGTACAGCGCTACCTCAAAAGTATTCGCGGAAAAACAAAATGGCTGACGTTAAAAACAAAGTTCGTCTCAAAAGTTTTGGGGAAAAATAAATATTAAAAAAATTAAAAACACTTACTTTAATATTTTGTCAAGCAACCTTTCGATCGAATTACTGCCATAATTCTCCTTGGAAGTGAATTGTACAAATTCTGGACATTATTTGGCTGATAGGAAGTCCAAAGATCGTAAATGGCGTTGAAAAGTTCATCTGGAGTTTTTATGTATCGGGCAGTGTTTTGAAGAGCATTTTTTATGCGAAGCCATATATTTTCTATTATGTTTAAATCTGGTGACTGGGCAGGCCAGGTCAAACAGTTTATATCATTGTCACGTTTATATTCTTCAGTAATTCGTGCGCGATGCACAGGGGCATTATCGTCCTGAAACCGGTAAGTTCTGTTAGAGAAATGACGGGCTAAAACAGGCCAGAGATTGTTTTTCCAGGATTTCTTGGTACTTTACAGCATTTATATTTCCATCAACTTTGCATAAAGTTCCGATACCATGCCATGTTATACAACCCCATAACATTATTGACACTCGCTTCTTAGGTCGAGGACACATGCACTGCGGATTGTAAGCCTCATTTGCAGATCGCCACACATATACACGATTATTTTGTCCGATCACAATCTGTGATTCATCACTGAATATAATTTGCTTCCATTCATTCTGCACTGTCCATCTCCTCCTCGCAAGACACCACGAAAGTCGTTTTCTTTTGTTTACATCCCTCACGACCATTTTCTTCCTCACAACGCGCCTGAAAACCAAATTCGTTGGACAGTCTTATGGTGAACGTGTACTGGTCCCCCTGTATTAAAATCCGCAGTAATATCTCGCAACGGTCTCTCACGGTTACTTCTAACGAGTCTCAAAAGTCTACTCTCTGCCGGCTTTGTAACTTTTGGAGGTCTGCCGGTTCGAGGCGTATTTTCAACATTTCCGTTGTTAATAAATCGTGTCCATATAGACCGAATTGTTGATTCAGGTAAATTTAACAATCTCTCGATTTCACAGTTTCTGATTCCCTCTTGTTTTAAATCAACGACCAGTTTTTTAACCTCATTGCTAATTTCTTTTGACTTGCGTCCCATATTGGAATTCACCCAACGATAAAAATAGCAGACGAAAACAGTGATACGTCATCAGATTAGGTCATTGGTCATGTGATAAGAATACGGGAGATAACTCTAAATTAATTAATAATCGAGGAATAATGGGGTAAGAATCATTTTTTTTAATTGAAACTTAAAAATAAAAAATCGGCCATTTTGTTTTTCCGCGAATACTTTTGAGGCGGCGCT